GGGGCGGGGGCGGGGACAGTGTTCATGGAGAATGGCTCGTTGAGCTAGGCTTTACCGGGTGAACAGAAGCTTCCAGATTGATGAAAGGGGCAAGAACAGTCCAGGCAAAAAGGACCTGAGTGAGGAATGTTCACAGCATGGAAATGAGCTAGGCCCTTAGGAAATATGGGTAGGGTATTGGAAAGGTGGCTGGAGCAGTCTGCAGAGATAAGATGGTGAAGAGTCTTGAATGCCATTAGATAACAGGGAGCTAGGGAAGGGGGTAGGTAGAAACCCTGTTGGCATCATGACCTTGTGATCTGAAAAGTCGGAAGTTTGAAACCACTGGTTGCTCTGCAGGAGAAAGACAGGGCTTTTTACTCCTGTAAAGAGTTACGGTCTCGGAAACCCACAGAAGCAGTTCTACCCTGCCCTGTATGGTTACTCTGAGTTTGTATCAACTCGATCACAGTGAGTTTTTGGAGGGAGAGGGTTTAAGCAGGGGAGGGATGAGTTTGTATGTAACATTCTCTCTGACTACAGGCTGGACCAGAATCAAATGGGCATAGTTTAGAGGAGAGAAGGGGACACTAGGACCCTGGCGGAGCAGGAAACCCAGAAAGGAAGCCACAGGAGCAATCCTATATGAAATAGGGAGGATCTGGCCGGTCAGTCACTGTAAGGGAAAGAGGCAGAGCCAGGATGACCCTTGATGGTGGAGGGTGGAGAGGGACACAGATTTAGGGAAGTCTGGATATGTTGGCCCTTGGAGAAATAGCTGTTGGAGATTCAGACAAAGCGCATGGGCAGACAAGGGCAATGAATACCCTTTAGAGACTCAAGGGGTAAAGAATTGGCTGGGTCATAGTGCCGGAAGGGAATTCCAGGAAAAGAGCAGGTGGCATTTGGGGTGTGTCTGTCTCCAGTGTGCACTGCTTGTAAAGACTGCTCCATCCCCAGATCAGGTCAGCAAGCTGTTAACTGTTGGCTCAGTATCGTCCTTGTTCAGGCTCTGGGGGCCAGAGTGCTGCCCTCAAAGAGACCCAGGTTAGTGGGGAAAGGACACAAACTGACAATGGCCGCCACTCATTGTGATCGTTGTAACTATGAGAGTCATACCAAGAAAAGAGGAGTGGTGGGTTCTGCCCCTCAAACAGGAGGGCATGGAGCTGGCGGAGTGGAAGGACAAACAGTAGGCCATCAGGCAGACAGGGACCCTACTATAGCTGGGAGGTGTTTACATTTTTCTGTCTGGATGCTCAGGTACCCTGCTGACTACACCCCAGCACACTGCGATTGGGGCACACCCTGTCTCCATGCCAACATACAGGGCCCAAGGAACCCCTGCGTACAGCTATGTGCCCCCGCACTGGTAAAGCCTGCAGCCCATCCAAGTGAGTGGGGCCCAGGTGGGAGAGATGGGAGAGTCTATCTATAAAAGAAGGGCTTCCAACCTCTTGCTCACTAATGGAGCCTGTCTGTGATCAGCTGCGATCCTGCCCCAGAGCCAGTACCAGCACTCCTAGAAAGAGCTGCCGCTTTTCACATGTCCACTTACTGGTACTTCACAGGCTCTCGCATGATTCAGATGCAAGGGCTATGCACTAAGGGCCCTTCACTCCCTTTCACACATAAAAACATAGTTCAGCATCACTTAACCTTAAAAAGGGAAATGGGGGCTTGAATTTCCAATCCTTACATGCTGAACTCATCAGTCATCAGACTTTTTTTAACTGTGGGCCCCCCCTCTCCAATGAAATTTTACCTGGATCAGATGTTAGCTCTGGTAGCAGCAGAGCGAGGAATCTGAGCCAACCCAACCCCTAGGCTCCCCACCGCAGGGCTTTAGGCCTGTGTCAGAGTGCAACCTGTCCTACCTCCTGTCTGCTCTGCCCTCCACTGCCTGCAGGAGCTCCACTTCCCAGAGGGAAATAGCAGCGCCCCTGGGAAGGCCCAGGGGGATTCATTCCCAAGTTGAGTAGGGCATGCAGAGGTTTCCTGAAAGGGCCCCTGGAGTATCCCCTTCTCTGACGACTTTCCCTCCTCTCCCCAGATCTGGAGTCACACATTGTATGCAACTACTCAAGTCTTACACCGGTGCTGGAGCAGTCCCCTAGCAGCACCGCTTCTATTTGCAAGAAGAGACAACGGAAGTGCAAGGGTCACTTTATGCATCTTTAGTGGTTTTGGTTTTTGATTTTTGTAAAAGCTGCTTTTTCTAATCTCCTGCCTCTCCTGATTGTCCCCTCTTAGCCGGTCAACCAATTCCAGCCCCTCTTCTTACCTGGCCAGCTTGTAGTCTTTTCTCCCCCAGCACCCAGTCCCGGGGATCCTGGTCTAGTGGCCAGCAGCCAGTGGGGGTTTATTGCAATGGTTCAGCTGAAGACTCAAGTTTCATTTGAAGAGCAGAAACATATGTGGCCCTGAGGTCTGTTGGGCAGGCCACGTCTTTAGAGGGTTAGTTTTTTGTTTTTGTTTGGGGGGTGGGGTGGGGGGTTTCCTAAGCAAGATTAGTTTAGGACATGACCACATCCTGACACAAATGAAATCTCTTCTGAGAACCATCGCAACAAACCGAGAACAGAATCACCTTATTAATAGCAGCTTGACACCAGGCTGAGCAACCTGGGGAACCAGGTTTTCCTTGGGAGAACTTGGAGGAGGGTGGGCGAGGGAGGGCATGGTGGGAAGGGAGAGGGGAGAAGGGGAGCGGGTGCTTGCCTGCTGGCTTTGTTTAAAAGGTCCCTGGCCAAATTGGCCTGGACCTTCTGATTTGCACAGTGATAGAAACTGGCTTGGCACTTCTCAAAAGATGATTTTGACCTCAGACATGCCAAGCAGCTTCAGGGTGCTTGGGACCTTGGTGTCCCAAGACATTGGAAGGCCAGGTGCTCCGTGTAACCCAGTCCCCAGCCTCTGAGCCCTCGGGGGACACACTCGGGCGGGGGACATCCTCCTCCTTGGAATGGGAACCTCTGGCATTTCTCTCCCTTCCCCTCGGCCCTTCCCAGTGCCAGGGCTCACCTGGTTGTCCACAAGGCTGGCAGGTAGACCAAGCTCTCGGTTACCTTGTGCCCTTCATGACCAAAGTGAAGGGACCATATTCCAGGTGGGTGCTGGCGGCTCTGAAGGTCATGATAGTGAAGGAAAAGCAATAGCAATAAACATTTCATAGACTCATGGAACTGAAGGGACCTTAGCAATCATCTCACCCATTCCCTGTTTGGTAGATGATGGGAGTGAGGCTCAGAGAAGAAGGAAAGACTTCCCTAGGCCTACCAGCGAATGAGTAGAACATGCAACCTTCCCAGAGGGGCATACTGCCTGCAAAAATTGATGGAGGGATGGAGTGGCTTGGTTTTTACAAAACTAAGTCAGCAGTGCCCACACCTGGCCGCCTCTGGAACAGCCTCTGGGCTTTTGTTTTCTGCTCTTTTCCTTCACGGACTCCAAAGGCAGAGTTTGAAGACAGGGCAGAAGCCCCGTGGGGCAGATGGCAGGAACAGAAAATGCAAGTGGAGAAACAGCATTCACAACTGCTGTGAAGACCCTGCAACTTCCATCCCACGGCTCGCTCCCACCCTGGGAGAGGAGCAAGTGGCTGGCTGAGGAGGAGAGGCCGTGGGTTGGGGACTCCAGCCCCTCAGCTGGAGAGGAGAGAGGGATGACGGTGGGGCCCAGGAGACTGATGCACACCTGGGAGAGGAGGCATAGGGGCCTCTGCTAGACTCAGCCAGAAGCCGGGTTGCCCAGCCTGGCCCTCTTGCCCCCCAGTGCTTGCTTGGCTGGGCCTGTAGCCCCTCGGGTGGGGCAGGAGGCAGGCATTTTAATGTTCATAATGGTAGCATTGTCAGCATTTGGGACTTTTAAGTATCTATTTTTTAATTTATCAGACTTGGACACCTCCCTGCCCCTACCTACTATGTCCCCCTGAAGAATGAAAAAAATCATGATAAAACCTGACTGAAAGGACCTCAGGAGCTGCCCAACCCTTCCCAGGGGGGCAAAAGCCCATCATATCCTTGGCACAGAGCCTGGGGGTCCACCCCCTGGTCTTCCAGGGAGCTGCAGGCCCAGTAAGAAGAATCCAGTTGGTTAGTCTGGAATGCTGAAGAGCTTTGTGTTTGAAAGAACAGTTTTCCAGTGTTAATCTTTTTTTTCTTTTTTTTTTGCAAATACCTCCCCTCACCTGCCTCTGCTTTGTATGGGTGGGTGAAGGTCTTTTTAGATTAGGTCAAGGGTTTGAAAAAATGCCAAAATAATAATATTGATGATAACAATAGGAAACCTTTGCATTTGTTGGGTGCTTTATAAATTTCAAAGCATTTAACAGCCTTTAATTCACTAGCCCTGAGAGAGAAGGCACGAGAGCCAGCCTCAGAGTTATTCCAGGCACTGGACAGTGAGGACACCAGGGATAGAAGGGAAAGGAACTTGTTGAAATTGAGTTGAATTCTGGGAAGCTGTGGGCTTCTGGAACTCCAGCTCCTCCAGTTGGGCTTGGGTGGAACAGTACGGGGGCATGCAGGGGACCTAGGAAGGCCCTTCCTTGTCACTTGGCTTTGTCTATCAGTAAGTAAAAGCCCGAGATCTAGTACCTCACAGTTCACAAAGCAATTTCACGTACATCGCCTGGCTTAATCCTTCCAGTAGCCCTGTGAACTAGAGAGTATTCCTCCCCTTGACCTGAGAGGGAACATCAGAGAGAGAAAGTGGCTTTCTAAGTAAGCAATGCCACTCCAACCCAAGTCCGCTTGCTGTCCCCTTCCCCTCCACACACAGGCTCATACAAGTAAGCCTCCATGCTCGCTCGCCACCCCGTTGTGGCCCCTGGGATGTCACTCAGGATCCGAGAGGCCCGGAGACGAAGACCAGAGCAAAGGCCCTGAAAGGCTGTGGTCTGGAAGCAAAGAGCCCAGGTCCAGCACTCCTCCTTAGCGGCCGGCTGGGGGTCCGCTGGCCTCACCCTCTTGCCTTGACTGAGATCCACAAGCCTGGCCAAGCTTGGGGAGTCACTGCAAAGGGACTGAGCCCTGGAGAACCGAGCTGTAGTGTGCCTCTAGGGAGGTCGCAGGTACCGTCTACAGATTCTGGATTGCTCAAGCACCAGGCTGGACAGGTGGTCAGAGCTGGAAGGGCCTCTCCCTATAGGAAGGTATGAGCCAGCAGAGATAACATGTCCCCAGGACGAGAGCGTGCGCTTTGAAGGTGGACCGCATGCCAGCCCCCTCCTTCCACTGCTCTCTCCGTGGGCCACAGCATAGAGACAGGTCAGGGAGATGCTCGTGGTTCCTCAGTCCTCCAGGCTTCTCCCTACTTCTGCCTGATTTCTTCTCCTCAGCAGCCTGGGCTGAGGAAGTTTGAGTCTGGAAGTTGGACTATCCCGAGGTGGTGAAAGCCTAGAACAATCTTGTTCCATCTTTTGAAGTAAAAATAAAATTATTTCATTTCTTAACCATGAAACAGGGCAGTTACTGCCCCTTCTCCCACTCTCAGTGACCCCAGTAAGCATGTCCTCTTTTCCAAACATGACCATTTCATATTGCACCCAAGGGGGACCCACATGCACCTGGGTAGGGCCTTTTTCGTGTACAAAATGCTTTGGACATTGGTTGCCAAAACTCCTGTTTTATGGATGAAAAAACTAAGGCTTAGGAGACTCGCCCAGAGTCACTCCGTTTGTAAAGGAAAGGGCCAGGATCGGAACGTGTCAGTCTTCTGCTCCTTGGCTCTCAGAGTGGCAGGTATGAAGAAGGGATGGCTACCTGCCCTGCCCCAAAGCAGAGGAAGGCTTGCTGGAGACCGGGGAAGCTTAGATCACCTGATTTGAGCTTCTGCTTGGAACCAGGGACTATGCAGAGCCCCGGGGACATATCCAGCTGGCAGCACAGAGGAAATGAGAATTGGCAACAAAAGCCTAATTTGAACCATACACGCTGGGGGTGGGCTGTGATGCCCACAACTGAAAGTGCCTCTGAGGCAGCCTTCCAATGGACAGACCATCTCTCTGGGATGCCTGCACCCCTGCTTTCTGGCCCCAGAAAGCAGAGCCACTGCTCACATCCAGTTGACTGGCAATTCAAGGGCGACCTGGTGTGGTCCCGAATGGCCCCACATTTTCTGGACTCACGCCCCGAGGCCTGCTTTTTTCCTGGGTGAGAACCAGAACCTAGAGAGAAAGATTGAGGAGATTCCACGCTTCCCTTTTCCTATCATTGAATCACTAAAACTGATCCAAATTTAAGTGATTCCACATCCAGAGTGCTGCTGGGGCAGCTTTGGGGTGACAGCCTTGGTTCTGAGTCTTCAGAAAGTTTCACGGAGCATCATAAAAGTGGGGCAGGCCCCTTGGACGCTGAATGCTGTTGTCCTCATGGTGCAGATGGGACATGAGCCAGGGTCCCAGCAAGGTATTGGTTGAGCCAGGGCTGGAGCCCAGCTTGTGACGAGGGAGAACCCAGAGCCTCCTGGTCCCACTGGGCTTCATGGTCTTAAACATGGCATTCTGGCTGGACCAGTCATTTGTTTTCACCACAGCAGTCATGCTTCTCCGTTGGAGCACAAGTCTGTGGAAGCTGCTTTGAAACCCTGGGTTCCACCACGCACTTCACTGGGTGTGAGTGCAGAGAGGGGCAGGGCAGCAAGGGAACGGACAGGTGGGAA